TTGTGGTTTATATTGCTGCTGCTGCTGCTGCTGCTGCTGCTGCAACACGTACCTTGCTGCGTTTCCAGCAGCAGCAGCAGCAGCAGCAGCAGCTGTTGCTGCTGCTGCTGCTGAAAACGCATCAAGTTGCGATTCTGTTGGATAGGCGGGGTGTACAGGCTACAGACAAGGGTTTAGGGTTTAGGGTTTAGGGTTTAGGGTTTAGGGTTTAGATGATCTGCAGTGTGTTTCATTCGAGGAGACAGAGGCGCCGTCTCCGCTGCTGTTTCTCCTGCTGCTGCTGCTGCTGCTGCTGCTGCTGTTGCTGCTGCTGCTGCTGCTGCTGACGGCACTTGTTGTGCTGGGCTGCTCTTTATTTATTGTCTCCGTTGTTTGTGGGGGGAGGAAGAGAAGAGACAGAAAGAGAAAGAGACAGAAAGAGAGACAGAAAGAAAGACAGATAGAGACAGAAAGAGACAGAGATAGATACAGAGACAGAAAGAGAAGGAGACAGAAAGAGAGACAGAAAGAGAAAGAGACAGAAAGAGAAAGAGACAGAAAGAGAGACAGAAAGAGAGACAGAGAAAGAGAAGGAGACAGAAAGAGAGACAGAAAGGAATCAAAGAAGATGCTGTTGCTTCTGCTGCTGCAACGGCCAGCAGCAGCAACAGCAACAGCAGCAACAACAGCAGCAGCAGCAGCAGCTACTGCTGCTGCTGCTGCTGCAGCGGGAGACAGACGGGTCCTTGTTTATATAGCGCCAATATAAAACAAAAGAAAAGAAAGAGAAAAAAATAAATAAATAAACAAAGACAGAGAAAAAGAGACAAAAAGAAAAAAAAATAAAAAGGAGTTAAGGATGAAGAAAGGAGACAAATACGACAATAAAACAAAACCCTAAAATAAGTAAAAATAAATTTATTTTTATTTAATTTATTTTTATTTAATTTATTTTTATTTAATTTATATTTATTTAATTTATTTTTTTTTATTTTTTTTTTATTTTTCTTCTTTATTCCCCTTTGTCTCTTTTTCTTTTGCTGCTGCAGCTGCGTATACACCCCAACGGCTCTTACTAGCGGAGACAACCCGCCACAAATCCTCAGCCTCCGTCAGCAGGGAACCTGCATATACACCCCAAAAGGAGACAGCTGCGTATACACCCCAAAAGGAGACAAATATATTTATACAACAAAGGGAGACAGATGCGTATACACCCCAAAAGGAGACAAATATATTTATACAACAAAAGGAGACAGATGCATATACACCACAAAAGGAGACAGCTGCATATACACCCCAAAAGGAGACAAATATATTTATACAACAAAAGGAGACAAATATATTTATACAACAAAAGGAGACAGATGCAGATACACCACAAAAGGAGACAAATATATTTATACAACAAAAAGAGACAAATATATTTATACAGTAAAAGGAGACAAATATATTTATACCACAAAAGGAGACAGATGCATATACACCCCAAAAGGAGACAGTTGCATATACACCCCAAAAGGAGACAAATACATTTACACCAGAAGAGGAGACAATTGCATATACACCCCAAAAGGAGACAGCTACATACACAACAACAGCAGCAGCAGCTGCTACTACT